TGAACTCAAAGACTGAACCATGGGATGAAATAACATATTTCTCAGCAAATATTGTATGCCTGAATTACAGTATTTAAAGTTTCGCAGCATTTGTTTATAAGAAATAAACCTATTATCAATGTATATTGTTGTTGTTTGTGTTATTATCATATGCAATTGTATAAGTAGACCATTTCAGAATTCGAAATTTGAGACTCTCTAAATGCATAATGGGACTCATACTTTTCTGATCAGCGAGTCCCTGGGACTCGCTGGGGTTTAAGTGTAAAATTATCACTGCCATGTATGTGATAATATTGGTGCACCTGTGTATGACAAGCCATGTGTCATCCTCGCAGCCCACTCAAACAGAGAGACTGGAAGCCACGGCTTCTCGTCTTCCAATTTCTCTATTCCTGCGTCATCTGGTTTGGTTCCCTTATTTGTCCAATATTTTCATTCTGTGTGAGGTGCTAGATTTTGTCTTGATTTCAAAACATCATGTGTTGTGTTCTGTGCCTCTGTTGCTAGCATGTCACGTGTTAAGTCTCTGTCATTTAGGGACCCCCGCTGAGCTGCCAGTTTCGCAGCCTGATCCGCCAAGCGGTTGCCAATGGTGATTGGATCGTTACTTGTCAAGTGTGCTTCACACTTGCAAATAGCGATTGTTCTAGGCAGCTGTACTGCTTCCAGCAATTGATGAAGTAACAATTTGTGGGTTACTGCTGTACCCGTTGTTATTTTGAACCCGCGGTTTGCCCAATGTCGACAGAACACATGAACAGAACCCCAGCAATATTGGCTGTCAGTACAAATAGTCACATCTTTCCCTTTAAACATTTTGCATGCTTGAATTAATTCTGACAATTCAGCGGCTTGTGCTGAGCAAATCGACTTCAATGTTCCCTGAAATAAACCCGTTGTCTGTGTTGTAATGGCATATCCTACTCTATTTCGCCCATCTTCCCCTTTCTTTGCCGACCCATCAACAAAAATAACTTCACTGATCGGGAGGGGCACGTCAGTCAAATCGGGGCGCGGCTTGGTGGAAAAAATGAACTTGGCTCCCACAATCATGTGGTGTACCATCCTCTGTGGTGTGGCAAGAATGACGCTGGATTCAATGTGCCACATCTTACAACCATAATTTGTCCCTGTGAGAACAGTTACGCAGTGCAATGGAGGTGTCGTGCAGGTGACAGAAATTGAATTTTTATCTCTAACAATAGCACGGACACCGCATTGGGCACTCTTAATGTTAAGGGATGAAATAACACCACCTCTGAGGATGCTTCAACGGCCAATGCGGCGCCCAGTACGGCTTGCACACACTCGGGGGTCGCCCTAGCCACCAGATCGTGCTGCTGTGACTAATAAGCTACATGCCTCATTTTCGTTCCATGTTTCTCTATCAACACTGATGTCATAAACCAATGCTTAGCTGTCACTGTCTGCTCAAACGGTTTATTATTAATTTAGCAAAGCGAGTACTGACGAGTTTATCAATTCCCCTTTCACTTCTTCAAATGCTGTGTCCGCACTTGGCGTCCATTTTATCTTGTCCTGCATTGCCGTTTGCTTATCGTGAATAATGTCGAGCAGCGGCCTGGTGATTTCTGAATAATTTGCGATCCACGGGCTGCAGTAGATACACAAACCTAAAAATAACATCATCTGTCTCTTTGTCTGTGGTTTTGGGGCTGTGGCGACCGCTTTTTTCTGTCTGTCTCCCACAACACGCCCTTCCCCGGTAAGGGTGTGACCCAGGTACTTTACACTTGTTCCTTCCAAAGTTGCATTTTTATCTTTCGACACTTTATTGCCCGTTTCCCCACAAGTAATAGAGCAAGGCAATAGTATCGACTCTGCATTGCTCTTGAGATGCGGACGCAACCAAGATGTCATCTATGTAGGATAGAATTTGGCTATCCCGTGTGGCAATAAAGGAGGCCAGGCAGTAAGCGATGGCCTCAGAGAAAATTGTTGGAGAATCACAAAATCCTTGTGACAATCTGATGAAAGTTAATCTTCTCCTTTATATGTGAACGTGAACCAGTGCTGGCTATCGGGATGCACTGGGATGCTCCAAAATGCATTACTCAAATCTATAACAGAAAACCATCTCGAATCAGGCCTAAGTGAATTTAGTAGAGTATGTGGATTGGGGACATTTGGCGCCCTCTTTTGGACTGTTTGGGTCTCTGCTCTCAGATCCTGGACAAGCCGCCGATTATTTGTTTGTGCTTTTCTCACAGGGAATACAGGTGTGTTGCACGGGGAAATGGGGGTTGGCCTCAATATGCCCGCTTTTCGCAATGCGCTAATTAATGGCTGAATTCCCTGTTCAGCATTTTTTTTTCAAGGGGTATTGTTTTATGATAGGCCTATGTTCTGTTTTCCCCAGTGTAGTCACTGGTGGAGCATCCTTAATTAGGCCCACATCTGCTGGCCCGGTGCTCCACAGTGTGGCTGGGAGGTGCTCAATGGCCTTCTCTTCCTCTGTAGCTAATACAAATATGTCAAATTGTCAGCTAAAATGAACAGCTGTTGTGGTTGTCACCTTCCAATTGATGTGTTGACGCAACCAGTCAACTTCTGTTTCCTCGCACCCCAGATTGGCAGGGGAGGGACTCCACGTGCGGTTTGGAACAGAGCTGGCAAGGTTTGTTGAATGTTTTCCCATTCACATTGCTCCGGTTTGCCAAGCGGTATGTAAATGTGTTGCCCGGGTGAGAGGAGGGGCTTGACCGCCCTTTCCCACCCGCGCTGTGGCGAAACACCACTGATCTTTCCAATACACATGTTCAATCACAATACCCAGGCCCAGAAAAACCTTTGTGTAGTCCGTCACTCAGTGGAGAAAACCGGATCTGCAACGGTTACTCCACCATGCCGACTGACCTTATTTTTTCGACAATCGTCCCGATGCGGAGCTGAACCCAGGTCCGCTGGATGATGGCGCTTGCTCGTTCCTCACTGTGTCCAGTGCGGGGCTGGCTCCTTCAGGGAAGAAGTCTCCACGGAGTCTGGTCGACTTGGATGGCGCAAAACGCCTTATCAGCCAAAGATCGTCCACCGGAGGAAGTCAGAGAGTCGGACAAGCATGCTCAAATCCGTTCGAACAAGCGCATCATCCTGTTCGTGACGCCAAGTTTCTGTCAGAGTTTTTACTCAGTCAACGTTAAACAAATGGACTTTTAGTGTTTACATATGCAAAATACAAGAAAAACACTGCCCCTGATATTTGCATACCACACCCCCGGTCTGGCCCCTCTGTAGTGATCTGATTACCTTGGTGTAAGCTTTGAACCACAGATACGTTGACACCTTTCAGTCTGGTCTACAACAAATCAGCAAGTTGCAGACTTCAAAGTTGACAAATGTCCACCTGGGCGGGACACCCGTTCCCAAACCGTTTTTGGTGTTCTACAACACTTCGTTCCCAAATTGTTTATTCCCGCTTTGTGACCAAGTCTAGCCTTCTTCCATCTGTTTGCCCCCTTGCTTTGACGTAATAACTGTGGACTTCAAAAGCCCTCTGCCCAGACGGCCGACACATTTGTGCACAGGCATTTGGGGGCACTGAATACGTACCCAAACGTCTAGACATGCCCAAATTAAATGAAACTTTAAACATGATATAATTTTGATTGTAGATTTCTCTATCACCCGTCCATTTTCCAATCTGCTTTATGCTCACGAGGGTCCAGGGGTGCTGCATCCTATCCCAGCCGTCTTCGGGCAATAGGCAGGGTACACCCTGAACCGGTTGCCAGCCAATCACAGGGCACACAGAGACTACCAACGATCCGCGCTCACTCAATCCTAGGGACAATTTACAGTGTTCAATCAGCCTGTCATGCATGTTTTTGGAATATGGGAGGAAACCGGAGTACCCGGAGAAAAATCTACGCAGGCCTGGGGAAAACATGCAAACTACACATAGGAAGGCCGGAGCCGGGATCGAACCCACAACCTCTGCAATGTGAAGTCGACGCGCAAACCTCGACCACCGGGCCACTTGCTCAAGATGCATTCAAGGTAATTTTCAAGATTTCATCGTGTAAAATGTGTACTAGCATAGCTAGTCTTCGATATCGAAAGGAAAATGACCACAATTTGTTGTTTGCAGTTTCAGTCAATTGTACAACAAAATCCCTCAATTCCCGGTGCAAGACAGTAAAAGACAATTCAGCTTCCTTAGTCAAAGATTACCTTATTTCCCGCACCATAAGACGCACCAAAAAGCATTCAATTTTCTCAAAAACCAACAGTGCACCTTTAAAATACGATGCACCTTACATATGGATCAATATTTTTATTTCTCTGATGTAGTATTTTAAATGTTCTGTGAAGCGCTTTGTTACAGCTGCAGCGGTTGTGAAAGCTCTATATAAATAAAGCTGGAGTGTATTGTATTCCCTTTAGCGTAGCGCCATCTAGTGGATGCATACCACAACTGCAGCCATTTTCGTAGCCTCTATTCTATGCGCCTTATAGTGCGTTGCGTCCGATATTTGAAAAGTGTTTTAAAATAGGCCATTCAGTGATGGTGTGCCTTATACGCCAAAGCGCCTAATAGTGCGGAAAATATGGTATATTGAATAAGGTCATAAAAAGGCAATAAATATACAACATATATCATCATTTCAGGGCTAAGCATTAAAATGCAGAATGCTTCTGTGTGCATGTGTGTGCTGTTCATGTTTACTTTGAGTTTTGTTTCCATTTGTATTGCTTCAGTTTTACCTAGTTTTTATGGTCAATAAACCTGTGGAAAATTCTGTTTAAGCCAATCGCAGATGAGCCAAATATAACTAACCAAATAAAATGTGAACGTATCTTGAAATGGTAACAAATTCCCACTGATAAATTCAATGACATTGGTCATTAGTCACCCAACTGTAAGACAAGGACTTACCAAAACAAGAGACACCATATGGTTTGCCACAATGGTAATTTTTTCCCCCTTTTTCGTACTAATGACTCTGGCACTACTTTATTGAAGATACACCTTGAAATGGTTTTAAATAAAATATTTATTCAAAGCCTTCATCTCTTGACAAACAGAGAAGCTCATAAAAATACAGGTACTTTTTTCCCCTCCTTTACACAGGAAATAAAAACACTTTTGGACCCCCTCAAAATTGGGGAATTAAAATATTTGACATTTGTATCACAAATCAATATAATGAGACAAAAAAATACAACAAAAACTGTACAAAAATTTTACAATTCTTTTAAAAAATTCTGACGATATACAGTAAATGGTGCAAAGGGTACATAATTTTACTTTGTTGTGTCACTGGCCAATAAAACATTTTTTTTTTTTTTTTTTTTAAAACAACATCATTTCATTTTTTCTGCTGGATGAAATTCAGATTTACTGGGTGTCTGACATGGTGAACCATGGGCAAATTTGGATTCGGATGCATCGCAGAGCCTGAAGACAGATGGAGACAAATTATGATCTGAGGCAACAAAACAAAACTGGGTATTCACATTTAATAATAACGGATTAAATGTCCACAATTGTGGGAGTTTTAAGTTTTATCAAATAATAAGCGAATTAAATAGGAAGCAGTCATTTCACGTCAAGTCAACTTTACTGTCAAATGCGCTACATGTGCAACATACAGCACAGATGAAATTACCTTCCTCTCAAACACAGGATCTTTTGTTCCTTATCTGAGCATGATCTGGGCTTATTTTCTGTAACCTACATGTTTTGTTTTGTTTTTTGTCTTTTAAACAGTAAAACCAAAAATATAGCTTTCAGTTGTAAAAACTGTCCCGACTGGGGAAGCATATAACTTACCTGGTTGGTAGCCACCGTTTCCCTGCTGGATAAAATTCTGCGGCATTCGGTATGGCCAGGAAGGAGACAGTGCAAACTGGGGTGTTTTATTGTGCTCCCATACTTGAGAACCTTGGCTCACACCAATAAACTGGGATGAGTGCCCCAAATCTAGAAAGACGAGAAGTCAGACAATATATTACTATCACCTTTAAGTAAATAAAAAAGTGTCAGGTTTGTTGAGTCAGTTACTTTGCATCGCCAAAAGAGAGTAGGCCATTTTCAACACTAAAAATAATCCCACTTGGGACTGAAACACTGAAAAAAATATGAAATTGACAGGAAAAAAAAAGTCAATGATGTTAATTATTTACATTTTTCCTCATTGTTTAGAACAGTGGTTCCAAACCTTTCTTGAGCCAAGGCACATATTTTACATCCATAAACAAACAAATATGTCACAAAAAGTGACATCCACAGGTATACACAGGTCATCTACTGGAAGAGCATTTGGATAGATGAACAAAGATGCATTATTTGGAGTAAATACAGTAAATAACACTGGTCAACAAATTTTTGTAAGTAAACCCTTTTGAGCTATTTTTTTGGAGCCGATTACGAATCTGCCCTCATTTTTTCTCTCGCACATCAGATTTTCATAATAATAACAATAATAATATGTAATATAGTAATCTATATTTAGTTGTCAGATTATCACATTAATTACAATCAATTAATTGCAGTCATATTTAGGGTGTTTTTTTTAATTGCATTAATGTAATTTTAAATCTCTAATTTTCAGGTATTTGTATGTTGATTAGATCCATTTTCATGCATCAAGCTCCTTGTGCTTGAGTTGTTGGGGTGGAGGGGGGGACATTTTTCCAGCATCAGCAAATACATTGAGGCACATATAAAGCCATCTCTGATTAAAATGGATAATTTGCCAGTGTAAATTTCAGACCAATTAAGTGAAATTGGACCACTTGCCGTGGCATACCTCATCTGTCCAGGCATATAAAAAAGTGCTCCGGCACACTGATTGGGAATCACTAATTGAGAAATTGTTGAGAAAATTCTTGCATTTTACTGATTGGTCATAGAATTTTATTATTGTACAAAATCCCATTAGAAACCGTAACATGCCACGAGAATTCACCCAATGAATACCTGACTTGACCACGGTGCCATTTCCTAGAAGTGAACCATGGTGTGCCAAGCGGTTGAGCCAGTGTCCTTCGCGTCCTGGCCCAGCAACACTCAGCGATCTTCCAGCTGGCTGTGCAAAAATGATACTGGGATCATTCAGGTTGATAGCGTTGGGGCTTCCCCCGGAGCTCGTCGTGCTTCCCGACGCTGACCGAAGAGCCAATTTCAAGCTTGGTGGAGAGTGGGCAGTGGTTGTGTTTGTGGTAAGGACAGGTCCGTGAATGGGCCAGGAGGGAGAAGCGATGTGAGCTGGGTGGTGAGGCTGCCCCTGCGATGGGTGTGACTGGTGATGGTGGCAGGGAAGAGGCCCTCGGGCAGCCAGGGTTCCAAGGTGATACTGGCTTGGGTGGGATGAGGTGAAGTTGAAGAGAGAAAGTGGCACTTGGGGGTGAGAAGGCTGCTTCTGGGGACCGGAAGAAATGGGTTTATTTTGGGAGGGCTTGGGAGAAGTGGAGGACTGAGGGGAACTTTGAGACACAGCCGTGGGCTGTGGAGAATAGGGTGGAGTCCGGTAACTGTCGGACTAAAGAGAGGGTGGAAAAAAAAAAGGAATCACACCATATACCTCGCATACTGTTCTTACACACTCAAGAAGGTAAAATTTGAAACAGTGACTGCCCATTCAATGTGAATGTTCTTTAAAACAAGCTCACGATGAAGCACACATTTGTGTGAGGTGGTACAGTAGCGTTCAATTGGTGGGAAAATACAGTAGTGCCCATACAGATGGGGTGCCAACTTTGTGTGTTAGTATGATGTTAAATGAAATTGTTAAAAAATAAAATCCCGGATTTTTTCTTAACTCACCCTGAGAATATGAGAAACAATTTTCATTCACAGTTCAACAAATTTCATTAATTTAAAATGAAGTATTTTGTCTTGGAAGCAGTGACTGTTTGCAAAATGAAGCATAGTTTTTTTTAACCTAAACAAGATTTGTTTCAAAATTATGTTAAATTTGTTTGACCAACAGAATGCAAGTGTTTTTTTAACGTATGTATGTTGATGACAGTAACTATTTGTTCCCTATGCGCGCAGTGGTTTACAGTGTGAATGAATCAAATCCAGGTTAAAATTTCTTGCTACTCACACTCTCCGAGGGTAGCCTGGCCCTTCCAGGACCGTCTGGTGGTACCTGGGAACCGGTGATGGACTGAGAACTCACCAAAGACCGTACCATGTGAGGAGCTGATGAGAAATATGAGGTTGAGCATTGAGATTAGCAGTTAAATTGCAGTTCAGTATTAACAGTGATTTTGTTGAGCAACTGGTTGAAAATCCCCGAAGTAAGAGAGACCATAAAAATCTTAAAACTTGTTAAAATACTTTTGAACACATCCATCCATCCAGCCAACTTTCCGATCTACTTTATCCTCACAAGGGTCACAGAGTGAGGGCGGGGTGGTGCTTATCTCAGCTGTCGTCAGGCAGGAGCGGTAGACACCCTGAACCGGTTGCCAGCCACTCGCAGGACACACATCGACAAACAACCATCCGCGCTCACACTCACACCTTGGAACAATTTCGAGTGTTCCATTAACCTGCCATGCATGTTTTTGGAATGTGGGAGGAAACGGGTGTACCTGGACAACAGGGATGTGTCCAAGGACCGGCAACCCGAGGCCAAGGCCAAGGACTTGCCTCCGAGGCCAAGGCCAAGGCCAAGGACTTGGAAAATTTTCCGAGGCAAGGCCAAGGCCAAGGACTTGAAAAATTTTCCGAGGCCAAGGCCAAGGACCAAGGACTTGCCTCCAAGGCCAAGGCCAAGGACCAAGGACTGATTTTGAAGCTGAGGCCTAGCCGAGGACATGTATAAAACAATGCTATCATACCACTTAGCAGGTGTTCATGATTTGCAACACCCCTCCATCATAACCCCTTGCACTCCCTTACGCTTGAATGATGTGTTTTTATTCAAAGAGTAGAACAGTCAGGGCACGTGTTATTTATACTGAGAAAAAGAAATAAAATCACATGATATACATTTATGAATTAATGTTTTAGTGCAGTAGTTTCTTAATATGAAGTAAATCAACACTCAACAGGCATGACATGGCACGGAACACAAGTTGAGAAATGACTTTGCATAGAAGT